CACTGCCCTCTTGTCTACATGGTTTCTTCCAAGAAATCAGAGTTTAGTCTTATTGGTGCTCCTTTGTAGGTAACTTTTCATTTTTCTCGAGCTGCTTTCATGATTCTTTCCTTATCTTTCGTTTTGGAAAGTTTGATTTTAATATGTCTTTGTTATTTTCTTTTGAAACTAATCCTGTTTAGAGTTAGTTCAGTGTCTTGTATGCTTATCTTCACGTCTTTCACAATGTTAGAGAAGTTTCTTTCAACAACTCTTCAACAATTTTCTCTGTGCTTTTTGTAGTCTTTCTGTTCTGGAAGTCCAATCGCCCATAAATTGTTACTCTTCATGGTGTCCCACATAACTCTTAGGTTTTCTTCAGATGTTTTCAAACCTTTTCCTGACTGTTCTTCTATAATAGTACTGATAAATTTATTCTTCAAGATTATTAATTCAGGCTTCCATTGCATCAAATCTACACTTTTCCCTTTCAATGTATTCTCCATTGTTTCAAATCTTAGTATTCATTTTCTGTATTTCTAATTGCAGATTTTGTATTCTTTCAAACTTTGCATTTATTTTGTCTGTTCTTGTAGTGTTTTCTTGAGTTCTTAATTTTTTTCTGTGTTCTCCTTGCTTTCCTAGATCTTTTTTTCAATACTTTGAATGGACCTAAATATCATTTTTTTGAATTGTTTTTCAGTTAATTCTATTAGCTTTTCTTCTTCAGGAACATTTTCTGGCTTTGCATCATGATCATTTGTTTAAGCCATTCTCTCTTGTTTCTTTGTGTAAGCTAAAATTGTCTGTGTCTTCAGGACATTGTTGTTATTTGTATTTTATTGATGACTGTATGTTGATGTATTCTTAGGCTCTAACCATCTGTCTCCTATAGATAGAATGGAAGTGTATACACTGTTCTTTTTTCACTATCCATGTATCTCTCTCTGTTTGCTGTTAATGTTTACAGTGGGTTTAGTTGGTGGAGGCTTCTGTCTATCATTAATCAGGTGACATCAGAGCTGATATTGGCTCTTGTCCAGTGGTTGAATCTTCAGAAGGTACGGTTGTGGCTGGATGGTCTACAGGGCATGGTTGCTGTCTTCTATCAAGTGGGAAAGAGAAGAGCTTCCCCAGACACACATACATACACAAGAAAACAAAACTGGATAAACAAATAAACAGCCAACAATTAAAAGATAAAATAATAAAGGAGAAAAAATAAATAAAAACAGGCAGCAACCAGAAAAAAAATCAAGAATATAATAACTAAAAAGAGAAAAGAGGGACAGGAAAATATAGCTATGGAAGAGAAAAATAAGGAGAAAATAAAAGGAAAAAATAAAATTTCAAAAAAACCCCACAACACTTATAAAATCTAGGGAGAGGGAAGATGAAAAGAGAAAGAGAGCAGAGAGCAGTAAAGGAAGATCAAAAGGGAGGGAAAACAAAAAGAGGAGAAATGAGAAACAGAAGAAAAGAAGAAAAACCAAATGTAGAGAGAGAAAGGATAAAATTTAAGGGAATGGAAAGAAAGAAGGAGTAGAAACAATAAACAAACAAAAACAAAGTAACAACAAAGGGGAAGCATGAAACAAAACAAAAAAGACTGTGCAGCTATTGGACCCAAAGAGGAGAAAACTCTGGGGCTCTCCTGCCAGTTAAGGAGCTCATGGAGTAGGTGTGGGCGATGTTACAGTGGAATTCCTCATGCTAGGTAGAATTCATATAGGCTTGTTGTTCTGTGCCATCAAGTCAATTCCAACTCATAGCAACCCTGTTAAGAGTTTCTGAGAGCCACTGGTAGGTTTGAGACTTTAGTCAAAGGGCTTTATTTAGTCAATAAGTAGCTTATGTTTAATCCTGATTTCTGGACTCCTTTTTCTCCCTGACTCATTACTGTTTTGAGAATTCAAGGAAAAAATACACTTAACAATACTCAGAAAAGTACCATAAAGGCTCATTAAAGTGACAACTTTGTAATTAACATTCCAGTGTTTATCTTATAACATCACACCAGGGTTCTTGATGGAGCTGGTTTCAGTGCCTGTTAAGACCACAGTGAAGCTAGACACAGGGTAACTTGTTATGGGGGCTTCTGCTAGACTAATGCTGGTCTGGTGGTTCTGTAGGTTCAGTAGGCCTGGAGCCTAGCCTGCTAAAATCTAGGCACCAAAGAGTCACAGCTGGCCTCCACCTCACACTTGGCTCTGAACTCCTGAACATCAGGATCTGCGCTGGGGGTAGCTGAGGGTAGGAGCTGGCCATACCTCTGATAACCAGGGTTGCTGTTGTTGTTAAGTGCTGTAGAGTCAGTTCCAACTCATAGCAACCCTGCATAGGGTTTCCAAGAAGCAGCTGGTGAGCTTGAACCATCAACCCTGTGGTTCAAACTGACTTTGCAGTCCAGCGCATTAACCCACAGCCCCACATAGAAGAAAAAGAAGGAATCACACTCTTCCCATTAAGTGTGTGAATGTGCTCTGCCAGGCCAATCTCTGTCACCAAAGTACTCACAATAGTTCGAGGTGGTCACACCTCATCTGGCCGGCTGTTCACTGTCTCTCACTATCCCTGCTCAGCGTATCTTCTCAGCAAGCACTCAATCTACTTCTCTAACCTTTCTTCTGAAGTTCGGTGTTCTAGCATTTTCATCTGTGTCTGTTTCATTTGGTCTTTTGTATCTTTGTTGTAGAAGGTCGGTGTAGTGTGTCTGCCTAGTCTGCGATCTTGCTAGCAGTCTTGAATTGTTAGGCTTTTAAGAGGTAACATAGCTGAACAAGCTTGGGAAAATATCTCTAACCCTTTGTGCCCCCTCAGTTTACTCCTTTGTTATATTAATTCCTATCTTACTGTTTGGAGTCCTGGTGTGACACTGGACCACAAGGTGGTTTGAACCGCAAGGTGGTGGTTCAAATCCATCAGTTGCTTCTCAGAAATCCTATACAGTGTCACTATGAGTTGGAAACAGCTCGACAGATCTTAACAACAATCTTATTGTTATCTAGGTGTAGGTGGGTCCCAACCCCTAAAAAGAGGGTGCTTGTCTTTATTGACCAAGAATCATCAGATTAGACAGAGTTTCACATGGGCAAAAGAATTAAAGATTTATTGAGAGGAAAAGATCTAACCATGGAAATGAGGAACCTAGGCAAAGCTAGCTCTCATTTCCCTGAACAGAGGTTTTGCTGGATTCAAAAAGTTTTAGGTGGGAAAAAAGTATCCTGTTAATTCATAGGAGTAGGTGGAGATTTCTGGGAAGTGACCCATTTAGGAGGGACTCTGGTGTGGTGTTATGGGATCAGCACTGGACTTCAAATCACAAGTTTGGCAGTTCAAACCCACCAAGTGCTCTTCAGAAACCCTATACAAAGTCATTATGAGTCCAAACTAACTCAATGACACTTAATAACAACAATACTATGCTAAATGAGTTTTCAGCATTTTTTTAAAGATGGATTCCATCACAAAGACCTGTGGTAGGGGCAAACAAAATTGATTCTGATGTCAATCATGTGTGATTCTCAGGACCCTGTTTCAAGACCCTCCCAGGGACTTGTGTACTCCTGTGCCCCAGCAGAAGGTAGTCCTTTAAGGTTATGTCTGTGGCACTGGGTAAACCAATCTGGTCTGTAAAACATCTTACAAGGAAGTAAAATACAGCATTTTTATGGGTGGTTGTTTTTAATGGAACGTCCCAGGCTGTGACTGCTCATCTATGCATCCTGAGTATGTCTGTACATCTTTAAAACTGATTAAGCAAGTGGACTCCAACATCCCTTCATGTTTTAGACACAAGACTTGAGTCAATAGTTGTTGTTCCTGTTGTTAAGTGCCTTCAAGTCAGTTCTGATTCATAGCGACCCTGTGTCTGAGGAGTGGCTGGTGAGTTTGAACCCCCAACCTTTCAGTTCAAACCAACTTTACGGTTGAGTGCTTATCCTACGGCACCACACCATATGTGACTCAGGTTTGATCCTGATCTCTGGACCTCCTTTTCTCCTTGCTTCATTACTATTTTGAGAATTTAAGGCATAAATACACATAACAATATTCAGATAAGTGCCATAAAGGCTCATTAAATATTGAGTCTTATACCTCTCTTCAACTGTTCTTGCACCGAGTAGAAGTACAACCCTTTTAGCTAGCAAATAATAAGCGCTCAGTGCTTTGTAATCAGTTATTCAAACCTGGCACTCCAGGAAGTTAAAGCAACATTAGAGCCCACTGAAATAGTAACCAGAGTAGGATTACCAACTCCAGAAACTTTAGGCTGCATGATTTTATGAGAGTTAATTTTCCAAGTCTCAGCATCTTTTTAAATGATATTCTGAAATTTTAATGTAAAATGCAATGGTTTTCTTATAAGATTGCAACTCTCCAAGCTTTGCTTGATTTTAAAGATCATAACTCAGGTGTGATGTAGATTTTTATACGTTTGTTGATAAAGGTGACATGACAAAAACATCCTTTTGAAAATCCTTCCCTTTTCCTTTTTTTTTCTACAATATTAAATGGAGGTGACCGTCCTTGAATATAGCTTATTTATCAAACAAGGCCATTTTCCAGGAACTTCTCCAAGCACTTGGAAACACTTTATAATGCCTTTGTGTAGCTTTATTTTATTAAAGTAAATAAATTCAGGAGTAATTCAACACTTACTATAAGTAATATAAAGTAAAGTAAAGAAATAAGTAATGAAAATTATTTTATCATATCACACAGGAATTCTTTGTTTTAGGAATATGTCCTAGAGGAAGAATACCACAAAGTTATAACCATGAAAAAGGAGATTTTAACACAAACATTAAATTGTCTTGCAGCAAATTTAATCATGACTCTTCAATTTTCTCCAACATAGCTTTTAGAATAATAAACATATTTGCTGGTATCCTGATTTCACTGACAACTATGTTCCATTTTGTTTTTCAGTCTGCAAAAAGAGACATATTACAGTTTTTAATTCAATGAAATTTTGTTATGATTCCCTAAACTTTACCATAATATTTTTATTCTCCTAGGTGATTTCAAAAGGTGCAATAATTCTTTATGGACAAAAGAAAATCATCAAGCTCAATAATGATGGTGAGGCTCATAATTTTATTCCAGAAGTTAATGCAAAGAGAATGGTTTAATTGTATTGTATTCTACAAGAGTGAGTCACACTAAACTCAGTCACCATGCTCACAGTTAAGGGGTTTAATAGAGAAGTTAACAGGTTACAATTTAGGATCAGAAATGTTCAGTGTACAGTTGTTCCAGTCATGACAGCCTTTTTTTTTTTTTTTTTCCCTCAGCTGTGCTCAAAAACAGGCCTTTTTCTGCTCAGCCAATGTTACAAAACTTTTTTAGGACTGTTGATAAATGCACACAGAACACACTACTTTATCATAAGCCTCAAGCTAAGGGCACTTGGTTCTAGTTCCATGGGTCAGCCAACTAACCCCACTCCAGTCTGGCTGTAGAATGTATTTTAATTTAATTTTAGAAAAGACAAATGCATCATTTTTTTTTTTTACATAATCTCCTTGTTTTTCAATACACTTTGTCCATCTGTCAACAAGCTTCCCTACTTCCTTATTTTAAAATGTTTTAGGCTGAATTGTGAGTCACAAATGCACCGCTGTCTTCACTTCTCCATCAGAGGTGAATTTTCATCATTGAAGGGCTGCTTTCAGGGGTCCAAACAGGTGAAAGTCTCCTGGAGCAAGATGAGGACTATAGGGAGGTTGCTTTAGCACCTCAAAATAAAGTTTTTGCAGAGTGTCAACAGTATGAGCAGAGTTGTGTGAACATGCATTGTCATAGAAGATCACAAGGCCCTTGGATAGCAATCCTCTGCATTTAATCCGAAGTTTAGGCTTTCAGTTCTTCAGTGAACATTTCAACAATGAGCACTGTTGATTGTTGAAAATTTTCCTGATAGTGTTCTAATATTGGACCTTAAGAATCCCAGAAATAATAAGCATCAATTTTCCAGATGATGATTGACTTTTGAATTATTTCTTGGTCAGCCATGGAGGATGTTTCCAGTCCATAATCAGCCATTTACTCTCAGAATTACAGTGATGAATCCATGTCTTGTCACCAGTAACGATTTTTTTTTTAAAAGAAACTTCTACCTCCCTTCAAGTATCCGTCCAAATGTTGTTTGCAGATGTCCAAACACTTCTGTTTATGCTCTTCTGCAAGTTGTTTCAGTACCCATCTCACACTAACTTTTCGAAATCCAAGTCTGTGATGGATTATTTCATAGGCAGAGCCATGGCTGATTTGCATATGATTTATCACATAATCCAGTGTCACTCATCTATTTGGCACAATCACTTCATGTGTCTGCTCAATGTTGTCATCAACCATGGACATGGATGGGCATTTTAATATAACTGGAATGTGGATCATTTTTTACTCACCCTTATATATTTTTCTTTAAAAGTCACAACCATTCACTTTAGAGTTGTTTACTACCCCAAATCACCCTTTGAAAAGTACAAAGTCTACAACCATACTATCCTAAACACACTTGATCTCATCTGATATCAGAAGATAAGCAGAAGATAAGCAGGATTGGTCTTGGTTAGCACTTGAATGGGAGAAAATTCAAAGTTCTATGAAAAGACACAATTCCAAACAAAACACTTACAAATTAATAAAGAGTTATAGTGTTAGTAAGAATAATGTTTTTTAAAATTAATTTTACTATGTTGTTGTTGTTGTTGTTAAGTGTCGTAGAGTTGGTTCTGACTCATAGCAACCCCGTATAGGGTTTCTGAAGAGTGGGTCACTGTGAATCAGAACTGACTGGATGGCACTTAACAACAACATTATAAGGTTCAGTCTTTCCCAAGAAAAGGCAATAAGGATCTATGTCTAAACATATTTTATTTTAAAATAAAACAAGTTAAGCTTTTCAAGTTTGAAGCATTTAAGGGATGTCCAACTATACTCCCTCCCCCCACTCCTTTTTTTTTTTTAGCTATTTGTGGAAGAGGTTGTAAATTTCTCTCAGAAATACTTTATAAATTAGTTTGTTGGGTCAGAGGTTGTCTTGTTCACTGGTAATGGGTAAGATGGCTAGAACATTTAATAGAAGGTTTCTGTTATGTACCAGTCTGCAATCTTGCCAAGGTTCTTTTTGAATTTGATCTTCTGTTTTCACAGATATGAAGGGCATGTTTTCGATCCCTATAGAAGCTAACATCGAATTAGCTCCCTCCGCTCTCATGCTTGTCTACACCTTACATCCTGGAGGAGAGATGATCGCTGACAGCACCCATTTCGAAATTGAGAAATGCTTCCAAAATGAGGCAAGGAAAAATGTATTTCTCAGATTTGTTCAACTTGTTGGAAAAATAAGGAAAATTCATGTACATGGTGGTTTTAGTTCAACTTAGTATTCTGAGAGTTGAAGAATGCAAAATAAAAGAAAATCAGCATGGTAAACATACTAGGCTGAACGATTAAAAATACCACAATTATGGTGTCCACTTAGGCTAGCACCCTTGTCTTACTAAGCTATAGATTCCAATAGAAAGGTAAATCTCTGAGAAGATTCTCCCAAATTGTGTTTATGTTTGATGAAAATTAATGTGATATAAAAGATAACTCTTTTCATATGACTTGCCATCCCCTTGCCCTTTTGTCTATTTTAATTTTCAGGTCAACTTAAATTTTTCTAAAGATGTAAACTTACCAGGCTCTAATACTAGTCTTCAAATCTCAGCTGCCTCAAACTCTCTTTGTGCTCTATTGGCTATAGATGAAAGTGTGTTATTACTACGGAATTATGATCAACTATCAGCACAAACTGTGAGTAATTTAAAAAATCTGATTTTCCAAAAACTGTTTGGTTTTACAGAAAACCTGGTGGCACAGTGGTCAAGCACTCAGCTACTACCTGAAAGATCAGGCATGTAAGCTCACCAGCTCCTCCTCAGGAGAAATATATGGCAGTTTGCACCCCTACGTGAAGATTTGTAGAATTAGAAACCTTATAGGACAGTTTCAGCCTGTCCTATAGGGTCACTGGAATATTGGTATGGAGCTGTGAGTTTAAGTGCCGGACTGCAAAGTCAGTTTGCACCACAAGGTCAGTGGTTCAAGCTAACCAGATGCTCCTTGGAAACCCTATGCAGGGTCTCTATGGGTTGAAACCGACTCAACGCCACTTAACAACAACTACAGTAACATCACTATGAGTCAGGTGATGGTGAATCTAAGGTAAAGATACACACTAACCAGTAAACCAAACTGCTGTGAGTTTGGTTTATTGGTTAGTGTATATCTTTACCTCAGATTGTTATTGTTAGGTGCCATCAAGTTAGTTGACTTATAGAGACCCTATGTACAACAGACTGAAACACTACTTAGTCCTTATATAAATCTTATATAAACTAGGGAACCAAGAAATTGGCCAAAGTCTAAATAAATTAGGCTAGATATCATGTAAAATGGACTCTATTTACTCTAAACGCACTTATAATGGTAAAAGTGAGCAGTGCTTTTAAAAATAAATAGCATTTTACTGAATCTCTACTACTTCACAGGCATGCTACTAAATAAATATTCTGATATGTTATTTCATTTTACTGTCAAGTAAACCACATTAATATGGTGGTGGTGGTGGTGGTGGTAGCATGCCACGGAGTCGACTCACAGCGACCCTGAATAGGGTTTCCAAGTCTATAAATCTTTACGGGAGCCTCATCTTTCTCCCGCGGAACAGCTGGTAGTTTCGAACTGCTGACCTTGAGGTTAGCAGCCTGACTCATATATAGTATCCCTAAATCTTTACTTCAAGAAATATTAATAAATTACCCAGCAGCATCTGACCTTGAAGAATCAAAGACTGTTGTGAAGTCTTTTTATCAATAAGTTATTAAAATTAAATTGAATCTCTGTATTTTTATTGATTGTGAGTAAGCCAACAATTGTTTGTTGTTGCTTTTGTTAAATGCAGCCAAGTCAGTTCTGACTTACAACGACCTTTATATAGGATTTCTGAGGAGCAACTGGTGGGTTTAAACTGCCAACCTTGTGATTTACAGTCCGTTGCTGACAACCAATTGAAAAGCATTTCCAAATGTTTAGAGCTCTATGGTCCTATGGTAGCGTAGTGGTTACGAATCGGGCTGCGAACCGGAAGGTCAGCAGTTCGAAACTACCAGCTGCTCCGCGGGAGAAAGATAAGGCGATCTGCTCCCGTAAAGATTTAGAGCCTCGGAAACCCTATTCAGGGTCGCTATGGGTCGAAACCGACTCGACAGCACTTAACAACAACAACAATGGTCCTATACCTTTTTTGTTGTTGTTAGAAAGTGTTGTCAAATCTGTTCTGAGTTATGGCAACCGGGTATAGGCTTTCCAAGGAACAACTGGTGGATTTGAACTGCTGACCTTGTGGTTCACCATCCAATGCTGATCCTACAGTACCACATCAACTACTTATTTGATATAGAGATGATGATAACTTATAAGAAGAAGGTTGAATTATTTTCCATAAAAAATTACATCATTTATTTTCTTCTACCACCTAGGTATATAATAAGCTACGGTACAGGCAACTATATGGCTATTATTTTAAAGGATTTAACTTAGAGGATGGCCCTAGAGATCCATGTCTTCAACAGGAGGAAATACTTCACAATGGAATTTATTATGCACCTGAATGGGCTGACTTTGGAAAAGATGCATATGACCTTGTGAAGGTAAGATAATCATTAATGTGTTGAATGTTGTTATTGTTGTTGATAAGTGCCATCAAGTGAGTTCTGATGCAGAGTGACCCAGTATAGGATTTCCAAAGAGCAGTTGGTGAGTTAAACCACCAACCTTGCAGTTCAAACAGATTTCGCAGTCCAGCACATTAACCCGCAGTACCACACCAGGACTCCAATGTGATGAATATGTGGGACAAAATATAAATAATTGAAATGAAAGCAGCAGAGAGATAGTTTTATATGTGTGCTTTTAATTCAATAATTCTTGGAGTATTCATTTTAAATAAAGAACTGGTATCTGAGAAAAGTATCCATTTTCCTAACATACTACCAGATGCATTATGTGTTGTTGTTAAATCCTGTCAAGTCAGGTGCATCTTAGTTCTCAAATAACATCTTTGCTCTTTAGCACTTTAAAGACAATTTTTACAGCATATTTGCTAATTGATATACATCATTTCATTTCTTAACTGCTGTTTGCATGGTGTTGAATGTCCAATACTTTTATTGAAAATATAGAATTTAGTAAAAGGCAAGTATTCCTAGATTTGTGATGTTTAGAGATAGAGAAATAAACAAGAGAAGAGAATGAAAAAATATTTAAAGAACAAAAATTTGTCAAAAGTGCTACTCTTTAATGGTGTCTGATCTAAAATTGGTTTTATCTTGAAAGGCAATGGGATTAAAGGTTTTTACCAACTCTCATCACCGTAAACCAGTGCTGTGCAAGAATATCAGGCATCCTGGCTATGATGTCGAAAATATCTCACGTGAGTCTTAGTGTAATGTGAGGATTAAATAGCAGTTTGTAATGTCATCATATGAAGTGAGTTGAGAGTCTGTGGATGGGAGAGATTTCTTTTTTTAAAAAAAGTCATATGAAATGTTATAAAAATATACAGAAAGTAAGGTTGTTGTTGTTAAATGTGGTCGAATTGGCTCCAACTCATATAACCCTGTATAGGGTTTATGAGGAGTGACTGGTGAGCTTGAACCACTGACCTTTCGGGTCAAAAGAATCTTGCGATCCAGTGCTTATCTTACAGTGCCACAATACTCATGGATTTTACTTTGAATGCAGATAATATGCAAACAACATAATTTCAGACAATGATACTCTGACAGTTAATATTTATTAAATGATTACTATGTGCCGAGCAAACTTCTAAATATTTGATTTAGAATGTATTTATTCCTCACAATGTATAGATTAGGAACCATTGCCTCCTCCAATTTACTGATGATGAAAGTGAAGCATAAAGAAGTTAACTTGCCCAATGAAACATAGAATAAATAGCATTGATGTGATAGCAATCCAGTTATTCAGGACCTAAAGGCCATGTTTGTTTGTTTGTTTATTTTTATCATTATATTGTACTAAATATGAAAGAACTACTATTAAGAAAATAAAGCAAGACAGAGGAAAAGAGAATGTTATGATATTTGGTTTTGGCTTCTCATGCTGCCCTTTGAAATTTTCTGTCCAGTCACTTTAGCTCAAGAGCAAGTTTCAGAGTTCCTTCTGATATTCTTTTTTTGTTTGGGTTTGGTTTTATTGTGAGGTTTACATGGGAGAACATCAGCTTTACACTCATCCTATTGTATTTCATTTCATTGCAATGATTACAGTCCCCTCCATGCATCATCATATAACCCCAAAGGGTACACCACACAGCACCCACCCCCGGCTGCCAGCACGCAGCCCTTCTCCTGCCCTGAGTCCAGTGTCTCCAGCCGCTCCATCTGTCCACGTCATCATCTCTGTCTCCATCCCTGGCATCACTGCCTCTCTGGGTAGGGTCCCGCTCTCCATTCTTCTCACTTGATGGTCCCAGGGACCTCCACTCCTGGGCTGCAAAATCAATCACTCTCCTCCTTTGTAAAAAAAAAAAAATCTACCCCTATATTTCCTAGCCTCACAGTCAGACCTGATGGCAATTATTCACTATTGTATCACAAGAGTCTCATTCCCATTTCATGTCACCAGCCTAGTCCCAACAGATTGGAAATCATTCAGTGGTGATTCTATCTTCCCCCGGCCCATCTGGAACTAGGCTCCCTCTTGAAAGCTTGTAAGCCAGTCACTTCTTACCTTTATAGGCCCCTCCATTTTGGGTAGCCAATGTCTATGTTGCCCATCCCTGTCAACCTTGTGTACCAAGGGGATGGGAGTGATCATTGCTGTAATGATTTGTTCCCTTTCTTGAGCTACTACGTCCATAAGTATAGGTAAAGTTCATCAAATTGTAGCAGGTTACTCTTTTATTCCCCCCCTCTTCTTTCTTCTTCTAGTCGAGCTCTGATCATCTAGCCATCTAAGCCAGGTCAAGTGGGTACTATCTGCAAGCATAGGTGTTCTTGTGCATCTCCCCTCACTTCATATCAGCTGGATGCTTCCCTCTCCCACTCTAGTCCTCTGTGACCATGTCACTGCCTCTGGTCCCAGAAGTCCCCAGGTCTTGCCATACTGTTGGCCATCCAGGTCTCCACCCTTGTTCATGGGGGTCTATTGAATGTGGTCAGGCTTAGCTTGCAACTTCATTGTTGTTTTTTCCCCCTCTTCCCTTATCAGTGACCAACAGGGTCAACACCCACACAACATGTATTCCCCTTGAATCTCAGTCTTAGAACGGGGGTTGCTCTTGGGGGGAGGGGTCCTGACCACTTGGCTTGATGGCTCTCAGGCAAACAGCTTACTTGTTCTTGTAGTAATCAATCAGACTCCCATTATTGTTTCAGATTTTTCCTGCCCGTCTTTCTTTCATGAAGTATCTTCTGTTCTTCTATTCACTCCAGGCTGGGCTACTCATCTTTTCCAATGGAAATTTCCTACCTCAGTTGTTTCTGGATGGGCTGAAATTTATTTTTGTCTTTTCTATCTTTCCTGCCTTATAAATGACCTTTTGATTTTTTCCTGTATGGTGCACATGATATCAACCCACAACTCTTCTGGTCTTCAGTTACTAGTGTCTAATGCATCAAATTTGTTCTTGAGAGGCTTTCTAAATTCTGAAAGGATAATCTCTATGTCATATGTTAGATTGTTTTAATTTTCAGCTTTAACCTGAACTTACACATGACCTCACAACTCGTCTGTCAGTTTTCTATTCTGTGATGACATGTGTGTTGCTGTGATCCTGTAAGCTATGACATCCATATTGTAAATATTAGCAGGGTCAGTCATGGTGGACAGATTAGCTTCCAGATGAAGACAAACTAGGAAGAAGGAGAGATGGACAATTTCAAAATATTTAATCAATGAAAACCATATGAATAGCAGTGGAACACTATCAGATAACACCAGAATATTAACTACTGAAACATGATGAAGAGCACCAGAATATTATCAGGTATAGTGCTGGAAGATGAGCCCCTCAGGTTGGAAGGCACCCAAAACACAACTTGGGAAGAGCTGGCTCCTAAAAGTAGAGCTGCCTACGATGACACAAATGAAGTAAACTATTCAGAACTTTCATTTGCTGATGGGGCAGAACTCAAAATAAAAAGAAACAACTGCAAACATCCATTAATAATTGGAACAAGGAATGTATGAAGTGTGAATCTAGGAAAATTAGAGATTATGAAAAATGAAATGGAGCACATTATCATTGATAGCTTAGGCATTAATGAGCTGAAATAGACTGCTATTGGCCATTTTGAGCCTAACAATCAAATATTTTTCTATGTATGAAATGACAAATTGAAGAGGAATGGCATTGAATTTATCATCAAAAAGAAATGTCAAGATCTGTCTTGAAAAACAACACAGTCTGTAATAGGATAATATCCATACACCTACAAGAAAGACCACTATAATTCAAATTTATGCTTCCATAAATTGAAGAATTCTATCAACTTCTTCAGTCTGAAAATGATCTAATATGCAATCAAGATGTGTTGATAACTACTGGCTACTGGAATGCAAAAGTTGGAAACAAAGAAGAAGGATCAGTAGTTGGAAACCATGGCCATGGTGATAGATATGATGCTGGAGCTCACACGGTAGAATTTTGCAAGAACAATGACTTCTTCATTGCAAATACTTTTTAAAACAACATAAAAGATGACTATACACATGGACCTCACCAGATTGGATACACAGAAATCAAATTGGGAACATCTGTGGGAAGAGATAGTGGGAAAGCTCCATATCATCAGTAAAAACAAAGCCCAGGGCAGACTGTGGAACAGACCATTAATTGTTCATATGTAAGTTCAGACAGAAGCTGAAGAAAATTAATATGAGTCCATGAAAGCAAAAATATGACCTTGGATATACCCCACCTCAATTTAGAGATCATCTGAAAAACAGATTTGATGCATTAGACACTGAAGACCGAAGACTATAGAGTTATAGGATGAAATGTAAAGAGTCATTAAGAAGACAAGAAAGAAGGAAAAGACCAAAATGGATGTCAGAAGAGACTCAGAAAGTTGTTTTCCAGTGTATAGATGCTAAAGCAAATGGGAGAAGTGAGGAGGTAGAAGAACTAAATAGATAATATGAAAGAGTAGCTCAAGAAGAGAAAGTCAACTATTATCAGAAAATGTACAAAGACCTGGAGTAGACAACCAAAAGGAAAGAAAACACTCAGCATTTCTCAAGCTGAGGGAACTGAAGAAAAAAATCAAGCCTCAACTTGCAATATTGACAATATCTCCGGGCAAAATATTGAATGATGCAGAAAACATCAAAATAGATGGAAAGAATACAGAGTCACTGAACCAAAAAGAAATGGTTGATGTTCAACAATTTCAAGAGGTAGCACATGATCAAGAGCCAACAATACTGAAGAAAGAAGTCAAAGGTGCACTGAAGGTATTGACAAAGAACAAGGCTCCGGGAATTGATGGAATACAAATGAAAATCTTTCAATAAACTGATGAAGCACTGGAGGCGTTCACTCATCTATGCCAAGAAATTTGGAAAGGAACTACTTGGCCAACTGACTAGAAGAGATCTATATGTGTGCCCATTCCAAAGAGAGGTGAGCCAATGGAATATGGAAGTTATCAGAAAATACCATTAATATCTCACACAAGTAAAATTTTGCTAAAGATAATCCAAAATTGGATGTAAACATACATTGACAGAGAACTGCCAGAGGTTCGAACCAGATTCAGACGAGGTTGTGGAATGAGGGATATGATTGCTGATGTCAGATGGATCTTGACTGAAGGTGGAGAATACAAGAAAAATGTTTATCTGTATTTTATTAACTACACAAAGGCCTCAATTGTGTGGATTATGACAAGCTATGGACAACATTGCAAAGTACGAGTATTCCGGAACACTTAATTGTGCTCATGAGGACCAAGAAGCCATTGTTCCAACAGAACATTAGAACACTGAATGGCTTAAAATTAGGAAAGGGGTGAGCCAGGGTTATATTCTTTTATCATACTTATTCAATCTGTATGCTGAAAAAATAATCAGAGAAGCTAGATTATATGAAGGAAATGTGACATCAGGATTGAA